TGCCGTAAAGGATTCCCAGTAACAATTGCTTCTCGTTGTAATTTTGTAGATCCGCATCTCACATCGTTTTTCATGCGAGATTAATGAACATTCCAACCAACCCCCGATCAAGTGAGGGAAAAGAGAAAAAGAATGAAATCGACAAATTCTTATAACAGTATAAATCGTGTGCGTATGCTATTGGAGAATAGACGGATGTTCGCAAATAGTTGTTTGTAATCGAGAGATTTTATTCATTTTTATTTATTTTGCAGTATTGATTTTGTTTCATTTCTGACTTATTGTAGTTACAACAATCGTCCGATTATCTACTTTGCTGGGAAAACGGGAACAACCAAAACAATCGGATCTTCAAGACGGACAATATGATAAAGTTAAACCGTGCAGGTGTATGGGTCAATTAAATCAGAATCGGAAAAAAATTTTCCGGGTATGAAGATTGAATAAAGAAAACAAAATCACCATACGAGATCAATTTAACCAACACCTAATTTGAAGTTTTCTTTTCTTTCCAAAAAAAGGAGTCAAGTCACCATCCTCAATTGGTTGCATCCTGTTCCAAGATGTCCTGCTGACGGGAATTACCCGAGTGCGGTCCTTGTGCAAGTAATAATCAAAGTTCCAATAATTCAATTCAGATGAATGAAACCGACGTCTTACGTGTCCACGTTCGATGTCCTCACACACAAGGGACATGCTAGGGGAGAATTCGTTCAAGTTGGGAACAACCGATCAGATCATTTACTTGTCACAATGAAACATGCGTACCTCTTTTCCACCACCAATCCACACAATGCTTGATCAATGCGCAAAATTCATGATCGACGCCAGCTATCATTGGTTAGAATCGATCGCTCGAAACTCGGAACCCCCTCTTTCCAATAGTTTCGTTAATGGATGGTTGGTTGGTTGAGTTGGACCAGGCTATCGAGAGCCGATCTTTATTCAATTAATTCTCGTAAAATAGGAAATTAATTTGGTTAGATTGGTCCGATATCACCGTGCTTGTTTCTTATCTGAATTATCGAAATGAGTGACACGAAATCCATCCATCAAACACACATGTAATAATGATGCCTTGTGTAATTCCGGTTATGTAACGGAGAGAAAAATTCGATAGCTGTCGTTCTTATTGTCTGGTTTAAGATTA